CCAAATACATGTTTTCTCTTATGTTAGTAATTTCTGTAAAGGCTACATTTTACTTCTAAAAATATAATGATTACCTACCTCTGCTCTTGAATAAGGTTAGAAACCCCTGATGCATGGATGGATGGATGGATGGATGGATGGATGGATGGATGGATGGATGGATGGATGGATGGATGGATGGATGGATGGATGGATGGATGGATGGATGGATGGATGGATGGATGGATGGATGGATGGATGGATGGATGGATGAAACTTTCCAATATACAATTATCTGCTCTGAGCATTGACTAAAAGGCTGCAGATTTTTTTTAAATCCTCTTTATCCAGAATTGAATGCTGGTCATAATAGAGTTGTTTAAAAATTACCGTTGTACTTGGGGGAACTGAGTAGTTTTCAGCTGTTGATGGTTTTTCATCCGAATACAACAGATCCCTGTTCACTGAAACAAAAAGCATAAACAACCTTAAATCAATGAACGTGTTTTCTTGATCGGATAACAGTCCCAACCAGAATAAGCTGCTCAGTGTGACAGAGGGATCCCATCTGACCTGTGTCTTCTTGACTGGGGTATGAGGTGTATGTCTGGGAGAAGCATCTGCAGATCTGCCAGATCAAGATTCCCAGTGCTGCGAGAAGGAGTAGGATAGAGATTCCCAGGATGCAGTACTTGACGGCTTCTGAGAATGGCATCCTGAGCTGTCCGCTGGTTGAAAGCAGCCCCATATCGACTGGAAGCTCCACAAAAGTCAGCATGTCTCTCTGCATCCATGTAGCCTCTGTGCACTCTTTAGAGTGGCGAGAAAGCAGTTTTTTCATTGTTTTGTTATTTTCAAAGGTAACAGATTTTGTAATTTTAAAGCATTTTTGTTTTGTTCTCTAGATAATATTCAGCCTTTTTTATAAACGTGTGATTTTTTTTAATGTTGTTGTTTGTTGATAACATTTGATATGTTTTTAAGTTTTATTGGTTTTGTTTTATATTGTGTGTCTTTGCTTTAATTTCCTGACTCTACTACTTTATATCTGTTTTGTTTCTTCCTCTTCCTGCTCTCAATGAAATCAGATTTGAGTTTGCATCCTACACCACCAGCATTTCTTAGCTCCAACATCAATATTCCGTCAATTTCCTTTTTTAAAATAATTTTAAGCTTTGCTGTGGTTTTATTGTTATCAATGCTTGGCAGTGGCTCCCTTCATTTTGGATGTATGTGTCCTAATAATAATTAAAAGAATATATGTCTTTATTCATTCCTGGCTGTTAAACCAGTGCTAAGTCTTTTGTCTCCCTGATACTAGAATGCAATTTAGTAAAAAGAAAAATAAGAAAGAATAGGTGTAAGGCTGCTGCTTGGTTGTACGCAGAGAATATTATCTCCTATCAGATATGCTATAGTCAAATAACATAACTTGCTAACTTACTATGCAAATCGTGATGGGTTTTAGAAGGAGAATCATCACACAGAGAATTCCAGTATGAATAAAATATATATCATATACACTATATTGCCAAAAGTATTTGCTCACCCATCCAAATTATTGGAATCAGGTGTTCCAATCACTTCCATGGCCACAGGTGTATAAATTCAAGCACCTAGGCATGCAGACTGTTTTTACAAACATTTGTGAAAGAATGGGTCGCTCTCAGGAGCTCAGTGAATTCCAGCGTGGAACTGTGATAGGATGCCACCTGTGCAACAAATCCAGTCGTGAAATTTCCTCGCTCCTAAATATTCCACAGTCAACTGTCAGCTGTATTATAAGAAAATGGAAGTGTTTGGGAACGACAGCAACTCAGCCACGAAGTGGTAGGCCACGTAAACTGACGGAGCGGGGTCAGCGGATGCTGACGCGCATAGTGCGAAGAGGTCGCCAACTTTCTGCAGAGTCAATCACTACAGACCTCGAAACTTCATGTGGCCTTCAGATTAGCTCAAGAACAGTGCGCAGAGAGCTTCATGGAATGGGTTTCCATGGTCGAGCAGCTGCATCCAAGCCATACATCACCAAGTGCAATGCAAAGCGTCGGATGCGGTGGTGTAAAGCACGCCGCCACTGGACTCTAGAGCAGTGGAGACGCGTTCTCTGGAGTGACGAATCGCGCTTCTCCATCTGGCAATCTGATGGACGGGTCTGGGTTTGGCGGTTGCCAGGAGAACGGTACTTGTCTGACTGCATTGTGCCAAGTGTAAAGTTTGGTGGAGGGGGGATTATGGTGTGGGGTTGTTTTTCAGGAGCTGGGCTTGGCCCCTTAGTTCCAGTGAAAGGAACTCTGAATGCTTCAGCATACCAAGACATTTTGGACAATTCCATGCTCCCAACTTTGTGGGAACAGTTTGGAGCTGGCCCCTTCCTCTTCCAACATGACTGTGCACCAGTGCACAAAGCAAGGTCCATAAAGACATGGATGACAGAGTCTGGTGTGGATGAACTTGACTGGCCTGCACAGAGTCCTGACCTCAACCCGATAGAACACCTTTGGGATGAATTAGAGCGGAGACTGAGAGCCAGGCCTTCTCGTCCAACATCAGTGTGCGACCTCACAAATGCGCTTCTGGAAGAATGGTCAAAAATTCCCATAAACACACTCCTAAACCTTGTGGACAGCCTTCCCAGAAGAGTTGAAGCTGTTCTAGCTGCAAAGGGTGGACCGACGTCATATTGAACCCTATGGATTAGGAACGGGATGTCACTTAAGCTCATATGTGAGTCAAGGCAGGTGAGCAAATACTTTTGGCAATATAGTGTATATACATATATATAAAACATTCACCAGAAAATTCACCAAAATATAAACAAGTGTTATGCATTTTTGTTCATACCTGGTAGCTTTTATCTATAACTTTAAGGACATGAACATTTACTTACTAAACATTACATGATCTCACTTCTTCTTTTCTTCCAAAAAAGCTTGTTTCCATGCAATAAATCCATATTTAGAGCTCTTAGTTGTCAGAGAAACAGAACAAGTTTCCTTCAAAGATCAACACAGACTAATGTCATATCACTGAAATATTCCTCCTGCTTTGCAAACTAGACACTCTCCCTCCCTCCCCTTTCTCCCTCCTTTCACACTTAACGCATGACTTCCTGTAGAGCATTCTGGGAAAACAGGTCGGTGAAGATTTTAATTATGTTTTGGTAAACTTATGATCTGAGGTTATGTACCTCTTCATTAGAAAATACATCTGAATCTTTAACGCCGAATCCAAGAATATGAGTTTAGATATGAGCCTAAGGATAATATGGGCTCATATCATAGTAAACTATATGAATCTGCTGTTTTAAGAAAATGTGCATGGTTAAAACAAGCTGGGAACTGGTCTGCATGGATTCAAAAGTTCCAGCCATGCCTAAACATCATGTGTCTATAAGAAACTAAATCCATTTGTAAAGAACCACACAGGCAGAGATCCTTCCTATTGAATATGGCCAAAAAGAAGATTTTTATGTTTTTCAGACTGTCAGTTATCATTGGGATCAAACCCTGCTGAAGGAAGGTATGCAAGACCTATGAGGTAATATACCTAATATAGCCCTGAGTCCCAGCAAAATATATTTAACTAAACAGGTTCCCTGTCTGACAACATTCCCTGTCATGTCATAATCTTCTAGGTTTGGCTTTTTAACTGAGACATGAAGAAGAAACTCTTTGGGTTTCTGTAATCTCTTTGAGAATCAATAAACTGACTTTATGGTGAATTTAGTGGGATTATATGAGAAGATTGACAGCTGTCTTAAATTCATCATTACCTTTGTTAATCTAAAATTATGGATTTAAAATAGTTGGAAATGTATGTAGAGGTCAATCTTATGAATGTGTATTTCAGACAAATAAAAAATAAAAATTTTAAATTAAATGAAAACTAATCATGTCTGGGTTGATTAAAGTTTGGGATTATCAACTAATTTAACAGCGCCACTTAGTGGACAAACATTTTTTTTAATTTAGTGCAGGTAAAATGAAAGTATTTTCTGTCTTTAATTTCAGAAACTAAAACTTATTTAATTGGATTTTGTCACACATATGGTGAGTATTATAATCCTTTATTTAACATCTCAATTGATGATTATATCCTAATTTTTTTTAAGTTTTTTTTTTCATTATCTGTACACTTTAATAATCATCATCAACAAGAAATAAAGGCAGATGATATTTGATCTTATGGATGATAATTCTATAATATATGGCCTAACCTTTTTGTAATATGTGATTTATTTATTTTACTTTTTCCCAGTCATTCAACTTTTTGGATGTCTTATCTGTCAACCCATTCTCTCCCACCCCTTGTCCATGGAGAGGCTGGTCTCTTTCTCCAGTGGCCATTAGTCCACCCAATAATGTGATCTTTTCTTAAAGTAATTTACAGTAACTAATTGATTATACCAAAATCATTGTATGTTCTGTATATAAATCTGTATCATTTATCCATCCATCATCTGACAAGGATGACCCAAATTTTATGTTCAAGTTTTTTATTCCAAAAAAGACTAAAACACTAAATATTTTGACCTAATAGGCTGTGACTCTATCATAAATGTGTCTTGATCACATATGTGCCCTCTTCCTAATATTAAAAGGAGGGATGGTTGTTTTTTATGAAAATGGAGATTCTGAACACATTCAGTTGGATCCCTTTGACTAATCTGATCTCTAACATTCAGGATCTGAAAAAGTCATCACAACACAAATAAGAACATGGATTGTCATTTGAGTTCTTACGTGTTATCCATTTATCGCTTGTTCAAATTGCTGCTCATAAGTCAACCAAAAATGACAAAATGAGAACACCGCCCATCTGCACGAATACTATATGGTCAGGTTTATTCTTATTTCAAAAAGCACGTAAACTGACAGATTATTGGCCAAAATCATGTTAGAAAATATTAAACATGTAGTTTCTTGTGTTAGAAATGCATATCACGTCTTCCACACATATATTATGGCAGTAATGAGTATAGGTTGCTTTAATAGGACACACGAAGAAGAAGAGCAGTCGGTGGGTGGGTCGAAGAAGAAAGAGTAGCTAACTCTTAGCCGCTAACCACCCGGTGCTGCTTGCAGGGATTGCCTTGCTACATCTGTACATCAATATGGTCCAACTAGTGGGTTCCCTCCGAAAAGAACTGGCTGACTCCCTGTCCAGCTGCAAGGTTCTGGTGGTGGGAGCGGGGGGGATCGGCTGCGAGCTGCTGAAGAACCTCGTCCTCACCGGCTTCAAGAACATTGATGTGGTCCGTTCCGTTTCTGTCTGATGCTAGCAGCTAGCTAGGTCTTTGTGTTGCTCGGGGGTGTGCGGGTTTGAAGTAATTTCTGAGCTGTTTGTTTCAGAGATTAACTGTTTATAGAGATGAAATGCCTGCATTAATTTATGCGAGGCCCCAGAATGGGAAACCTATAAACATTAACCGTAGTTCAATGTTTTATTCAGGAATATTTGGCGCCATTACTGCTGCTAAGCTAGCCAGTCTTTGTACTGTGGCGTACTGGCCGCTGGCATGGGTTTAATTCAGGAACGAAATGGTCCTGAAGCTCTTCTGTTTAATTCTTTGGCATTTTCCTATGTAAGCAATGAAATGAGCCTTGATTAACAGCCATGTAGCTGAAGTAGATCCTTTAACAGAGAAGCAGCGAGACAGCTGGTATAAAGAATGGACACCTTTAACTAGTTAACTATAGAAATCATCTCAAAATATTAGTACATAGGCTGAGTTGGCAATTCACTATCGTAATTCATGTAATTTAACACCACAATAATCTCATCAATCAGGGATTTTATGTGGTTGCAGATACATACAATACAAACATACCATATAAGCAGTTCTGTAGAACCTCTAGTTTCATTTGAGGTTGATTTGTTATATATAGACCATTATACTTACATTATGGGTTTCGTGTGTACTGTTTTTTTAACTTAAGACGATTCCCTCAGGGTCGTTTAATAAAATTATATAATTTGATCACAGATTTTGCTAGGGTATCCTTTCAGACAGTTGTCTTGAGAAGTCTCCTTCCAGTTGGTGTTTTAACTGAAAGCTGTATATCAGCTTAAAGACAACTGAATAGAACAGAGGATGAGATACATTGGTGAAGCTGAGGTGTCAGTTAGGCCACTTGATTCAGATGTGTTGGTCCAGGGACGGAGCAATAAGTTGCAGATAACCTGTCTTTAAGGACTAGAGTGGGAGACCTTGCTGCAGTCAAACTGTGAGGAAAATAAAATGCAGTGGAATCCGCTTATAGTGATCATGTTGGTCCAGAGCCAATTTGAACACTATAAGCGGTTGATTATTATATCCGAATTTACCGTTATTTCACTTATTTTTTATGGAGAATATCATCTATATGCCATTTGTGTAGTTTTTAAATTAGAAAAATGAAATGAAACGAATAGCTTCCACATTAACAGAATTGTATTACTGTACCATGCAAGTTTAATTACAGTATACTGCGCTGTGCGTAGACATAACTCTGGTAGCCTGGTGCCGCTAATGCTTTTTTTTTTAACAAGTCTGAAGTTTGAAACAAATGGTTTCATAGAACAGCAACATAGAAGATAACTGCATAGGCTACAGAAAATTAAAGCTAGCCTACCTCTGTTTTGTGTTGCGGATCTGCTGCGCCGCATTAAGAAATCACTTCACATATTTATCCATGGTTCCCTGGATCAGAGTGTTGTCCAACACGAGTTCACTTGGTTTCAAAATGATGTAAAAGGTGAAAGTTGTTGAAACCAACATGCAGGAGTCCAGTCTTTAAAGTTTAAACTGCATTCCTCATCTCAGCCCTGGAAGGGACCTCTGCGATGATGTCCTCATCCATCACGGGCTCTGACACCAGAGTGCTGTCATCGCTTTCGATCAGCTTATGAATTATTTTTGCAAATGTTTGCATTCATAAAGTGGCCAAAAATGAATACTATAAGCAGATTTCTTGATTACTATAAACAAATTATTTAAACAGAGTTTGTATTAAATTATTCTGTCCCAAGCCTTTTGAACTTTTAAACAAGCAGAAGCACAAGAAACTTACTTATTTACTGATTCCTGCAGATTGACCTGGACACCATCGACGTAAGCAACCTGAACCGTCAGTTTCTCTTTCAGAAGAAGCATGTTGGGAAGTCTAAAGCAGAGGTATGTAACCTCCAAAGAACTGCAGTGTGCTGCATGGGCTCGCATCATGTTCAGCCACATGTTCACTCTGAAATCTGGGGGTTTTCCAGGTGGCCAAAGAGAGCGCCTTGCAGTTCTGCCCCACAGCAAATATCACAGCCTACCACGACAGCATCATGAAGTGAGATTTCCTTTTATTTCTTAAAATGAAACAGATCTTACCAAAATGTGTTTGGTTATTTATTTATTTTTTTTCTAGCCCTGATTACAATGTGGAGTTCTTTAGAAAGTTCAGCCTGGTGATGAACGCTCTGGATAACAGAGGTAACCTGAGATGAGATTTTTTATTTTTTTTTATTGAGCTCTCCTTGAAAGATGAACTCAGGTGATTAATAAATGTTTTGTTTCTTTTTCCTTCCAGCTGCCCGTAACCATGTTAACAGGATGTGCCTGGCAGCGGACATTCCTCTAATTGAAAGTGGCACAGCAGGGTACCTGGGACAGGTCACAGTCATCAAAAAGGTAACTTGTCAAAAAATTGCCTTTTTATTTCTTTATAAGAAAATGATTTAGAAGGACTGCCTGTATTTACAATGTCCTCTCTTTATGACTGTACTAGGGAATGACTGAGTGCTATGAGTGCGTACCAAAGCCGGCCCAAAAGACCTTCCCAGGATGCACCATCAGAAACACACCATCAGAACCAATTCACTGCATCGTCTGGGCGAAGTATCTTTTTAAGTAAGACTCACATTTTAACCAGGAGGATCCATTTACAGCTGCTGGAACTTGTTTGCACTCATGTTTTTAGTCTGGTTTTGGAATGTATTTTCATGATTTGGCCCAAAAAGAAATTAACTTTCCACAGAGAAGCTACTTTAACACATATATCTCAGGTATAAAAGAAAACAACCCATAGTTCAGTTTGTTGGTTGTGATTTAAATGTTTGATTTCTAGCCAGCTGTTTGGAGAAGAAGATGCCGATCAAGAAGTCTCACCAGATACGGCTGACCCAGAGGCTGCATGTGAGTCTGGCCTTAGAATCGTACTTATAAAAACATTACATGGTTTCACTGTTTTGGACATTGATGATTAAGAAGCAGACAAATGATTCGGTCAGTTCTGAACTGAGAACACGGTGTCCATGTTGACAGGGAATCCTGAAGAGACAGCAGCTCGTGCCACGGCGTCAGAGAAAGATGGCGACATCAGACGAGTTTCCACCAAAGAATGGGCCAAATCCACCGGGTACGACCCCATCAAAGTCTTCAACAAGGTAACCTGTCTTCTGTGTAACGTTTCATGGAATGCCTGAAGAACATGTTTGCTTTCCCTTCTTTATCGTAGTTCTGGTGGAATCACAGCTTTATGGAATTTTAGGGTCCCATTTCCCGTTATAGAACACGCTGAAATATCGAGAATAACGCCAAAGCTAGACTTGTTTACGCCTTAAAGTTAAGAATAAAGTGGAAGCAATATCTTAAGGGAAACCAAACCAGATTGCTTTAAATGACAGTGTCAGCAGGATGTCAACGTGTTAAAGAACAAAAATAAATATAGTGTTATTTAAATGTTAAGCATAAAGTGTCAGTCTCAGGTGCAGAACTTGACAGTTTGCTTTTACCATTGAATTACTTTTTTTATTTTATTTTTTTTCTCATAATTTGTAATTGTTCCTCACTTGTCCTCTTTATTGTTAAAATCAGGTAGGCAATAAAAAAATTGGCATAATTCATTAAATGTGATTATTGTGGCATTTAAAATGCTTAAAATGTATTTATTTAATTTTTTTTTATATGTTTATAAAAACAATATCATCAGATATATTGTATTGCAATATATTTGCGCAGAACTGTTTCCGGTTGATCATAAAGCTATATGTTCCGAAAAGAAGCTGGAGGTGGGGAAAACACTAGAGAATGGGGGGAAATGCAAATTTCAACAAAAAGTGGCTGGAAAACAAGGACGGGACATGGCTGCAGCCTGTCAACTGTAAAGATGACAAAGGATTTTGCCATGTTATTTTATATATATATATATATATATATAAGAGTCATGGGTACTTGTTGATGGCATTAAGAGCGTTAAATTAGAGTTACTTATTCCTGTATGAACTCTATGACCCTAATACTTGTCAGTTTTTGAGATGAAAGTTTAAAGAAAATAATAATTATATCATGTGGTTCTGAACTTGATGGTTAGATTTCCACTTGTATAGATGAAAGCTGTCTTAATCTCTGAGGATATGCCTCATTTGACTCTGTTAGGTGCTACAGGTGAAACAGAAATACCAATAAATATTGTTTGCACTAAGACTGCGATTGGCTGTAAAATATGTCATAGTATAATGCTTTTAATATCAGCTATTGTTTATAACTAGTGATTTATTTTTTACCTTAAATGACCCAGGGGGAAAAGCCACATTTAGATGAACCTTTCTTTTGAATCGGTGTTTTAATGGTGATAAAGTGTTTATTGCAATATATTATTGTCTAAATACCCAGCTCTAGATTGCTGTAATCAGTTTTTAAATGTATTTGATATACCTAGAGAAAAGGACCAGAGCTGACGGGGAATGTTTGGGATTTTAAAAGCTGCCAGATCAGCGTATCTGTACCCTTAGTTCCTGTCATTGTGATTTGAGTTTTATTGTGATTTTTATTTAACCTTGTTCTTGTCTGGTAGTTTGTCAGAAACGTGTTAGACTAAGGTCACTGCAATCTGTGTTGGAATTTTATCAGCTCTGATCTGAAGTGATGTTCTCTCCTCTGATTGGCTTTTCTCCAAAGCTTTTCAAAGATGACATCATGTACCTGCTGACCATGGATAAGCTGTGGAAAAAGAGGAAAGCTCCCACCCCTTTGGACTGGCAGCAGCTGGAAAACAGTGGTACGTTTTCATTGTTTTTAAGTAAAGTGAGTATTTAGGTTTGTGGTTTCGGCACATTTGTGGGATTATGGAGTTAAAAACCAAGCATTTATTTTTAAGAATGACACTGTTTCTTCTAAACCAGAACCTTATTTTATAGTCAAACCTCCCAAAAAGCTGGTTGTCTTTAACTGCACACCATTCCTGCTTAAACAATTGTCTTGTTTCAAATTCATGAAGCAAATCAGAGGAATTGGGTGAAATTCTCCTGTCTTCCTCTTAGCTCGTCCTCAGGAGGAAAGTCCAGCATCTTCAGGGTTGAAGGACCAGCAGGTCCTGGATGTTTGGGGCTACTGCCAGCTGTTCCGGCACAGCGTGGAAACGCTGCGCTCACAGCTGCAGGAGAAGGGCGCAGGCGCCGAGCTCGTTTGGGACAAGGTAAAAAAGAGGAAACTACATTTCTCTGTTCTAAAACCTGAGTCCGAGCTGTATATCTTTATATCTTCACATACATTTCTCACTGATCTTGTGTTTTGTTTTATCCTACCATCAAGAAGTATTAAGTAGTGTGCTTAAAATGTTAGCAAAACAGAGCCATTTAAATACTTGATCCTTTAAGCTAATTCTTTCTGTGCCAGGATGACCCTCCGGCCATGGACTTTGTTACTGCAGCAGCAAACCTGCGTATGAACATCTTCAGCATGAACATGAAGAGCCGCTTTGATGTAAAGTGTAAGTTTTTTATTTCTGGCTGCAGGAAATGTATCACAAATACATTGTCATTGGTTTGCACAATATTAACATGGCATGCTAATAAGACCCATGATGCTGGGTGTCACATTAACACCTGATACAGAACAGGATCTAAAGCAGACCTGGGCTGGGAGGAAATTTGGACTGTATGATAGCCCTAAACAAAAAAACTTATGGTTGCAGCTCTGGCTTGTTTTATTTTACACATACTGAATTACTAAATTAAACTGTGGAACAAGAGAAATGCTTGCTAAATCGTGGGCTGATCTTCAGCATAATCTTTAAAGTCGAAGTAAAGTTTGATTATTTTCTAAAGTACGAGTAGCAAGAATCTAGGAGGGAACTGTGGATTTATAACATTTGATATTGGTGCAGTTATTTACCAGTTATGTCAGCAGACAGCCGTTGTTCAGAGCTTCAGTCGAATGCTTTTTCTTTCAGCTATGGCAGGAAACATCATTCCAGCTATTGCCACAACCAACGCTGTTATAGCAGGACTCATCGTGCTGGAAGGACTGAAGATCCTCTCCGGAGAGCTGGAATCCTGCCGCTCGGTTCGTTCTGGAGCTCTGCAGTTTTATATTTCACAGTATTTATTTCTCTTAGTGAAGATAACATTTTTCTTATTATACCGTATTTTCACGACCATAAGGCGCACCGCACTAAAAGGCGCAGTCTCAGTTATGTGTCCCATTTCTGTATTTAACACACACATAAGGCGCACCGGACTATAGGGCGCGTTTTTTATATACAGGTACATGTCCTCTACTACCTTTAAATAGCTCTACTGCGTATTTAAAAAATACAGCGGGGGCAAAAGTGAGTATGACTGTGCTTTATTCATGTATTTATTACAAAGTATTAATCAAACCTGGGAGCTGGCCATGAGACAGACACATCGCAGATGACACAGCGCTGTGATTACTCCTAAATTAACTTAAAATCCTGAAACCTGCCGACGGAATATGTTCGCTTTTATTGCCGGTATCCTGGTGCCTGCACTGTAAATTATTTAGATGAAAAACACCTGCCAGCCGCCGCGGTGAGGCTGCTGTTGAAGGGATTTCTGCTGTCGGTGCACCGCTGGTATGTGGGGGTCTGAGCGCCTCCGACAGAAATAGATAATCTGGATGAACTGACTGCAATTATGAAGTTTTCAGGTGGCCTTTCTCACTTAAAAACATATTAAAACTACTTTATTCCCACTGATCACAGCAAATATAGCTGCAAGATTTAGATTATTTAGATGAAAAAACACCTGCCAGCCACCGCGGTGAAGAGGAGGAGACCCGGCCCAGAGGCTGCTGTTGAATTAAGTTTTCAGGTAGAAAAATAGAGCGGGAGCAAAACTGAGTATGTTTGTGCTTTATTCATGTATTTATTACAAAGTATTAATGAAACCCATCAAAGTCATCATCCTCTGTTTCTGAATAAAACAGCTGCGCTAAATCAGACATGCCAATTTCCCATTCTTCGCTGTCAGTCACTTTCCGTGCAGCGCGGCTCCTCAGAAATAACGCCGGCTTTTGCGAAAGCTTGAACAACAGAGCCAGCAGACACAGTCCATCTACAATCCATCCGCAAACTGTGGCGTAACTTGCCCGGCGCTGCCTTCCACTTATCCTGAAACTGTGGTCTCCGTCTGTCATCCATCGCTCCCACGCCGCTCGCAGCCTTACTTTGAACGGCCGCTTCACACTGAGTGTCGAGCGGTTGAAGCTCCTTTGTCAGACCCCCCGGGATAACGGCGAGCACAGCGTTCATTTGATTCACCTTTTTTTCACATCGGCTGTGAGATGGGCACGCAGCGATGGTGATGCGTGGAAAAAACCACCTGGTCTCCTCACATACACCTGCCTCAGCCACGCTTTCATCATCTTCTCATCCATCCAGCCTTTTTCATTTGCGTTAATATCATGTCATCAGAGCGCTGTGTCTGTCTCGCTGTCAGCTCCCAGATCAGCTTCTCTGATTGGTTGATGCGCCGCGTCCAGCAGCAAAACTTTAATTTTTCCATCTCGAGCAGCAGCAGCACGTTGGCGGCGCGTCAGATGCTTAAACGCTCCCGACGTGCTGCACCTGCTGCTCAAAACGCGCTGCGGGACCTTTTGCTGCGCGTCAACCATTGACTTTGCATGTAAACTCGCTGCTTCTGCTGCACCTGCTGGGTCCGGTTCACACCGATGTCGAGCGGTTGAACAGCGAGCACAGCATTAATTTGTTTCCCCATGTTTTTCACATCAGCTGTGAGATGGGCACGCATGGAGTTACATATTAACAGCGATGGTGATGAGTGGAAAAAAAAACACCTGGTCTCCTTACATTCAGCCACTCTTTCATCATCTCCTCAATGAGGTGGTCTCAAAAGTCGCAGTTACAACACACATAGGACGCACCGCACATTTTGAGGGAAAAAAAAGACGTTTAAGTGCGCCTTATAGTCGTGAAAATACGGTAAATGTAATGTTTTGTGTGCCTCTTTATAAAGCTTATTTAGAATAGTGGCGTTAACTCCAGATGTTAGAGTTCGACTCATGGTTTCTAGTTGTCTAAACAAACAGGCAAATCGTTTTTCTATGTTTCATTAACTGTATTTCTTTGGATGGTGTTAAAACCACGGCACCCCTCTGCTTTCCTCCTGTTTTTCCCGGACAGATAGTGGTTTGTTGTTTGGAGGAAACTTTTAGCTCAGTGCTGAGGCTCAGAGCTGCAGTCAGCCACCCCTCCACTGCTCTTTACTGTGACCAACTTTCTAAAACTCTGAAAAAAAACCTAGGTTGTCAGTTTGAAGTTTTTTTCTCTGAATCATGTGAATGTCCTTTAATTTTTTTAAAACCTGACTATTTAAAGCACCACAGACAGAGTTGATTACCTAATAGGGTTTAATTGTGTGTTTTCAGCTCTTATGGTCTCCTATCAAAAGTGAATGCATGTCTTAACGATACAGCATGCCTCTCCTTCAGTGTTGCAACTAACAATTATTTTTGCCAGGCGGTTAATCTGCAGGTAACTTTTTCGGATAGCAAAATTTCCTTTACTGAAGATTTTTTCTAAACCGGGTGAAACTAAAACTTTTCCATTTGTTGAGTTGTGCATAGAGCTTATTGATTGACCAAACAGTTGTTTTTTTTATCTTGAAAGCAAAATGCTAGGTATTTTGAAATATGTAGCTGTTAGCAAAGGTTAGGTGGATGTCATTCTCACTTTAGGTGAGTTGTTGACTGTGTTGTGTACTGTACAGGCTGTGCTTCTCTGATGAGGGGTTTGGCATTGGTCGGTTGTCTGATGGGTAGTACAGATCAAAGTTTCAAGGACAGCTAAACTAGCTTTCTGTTTCAGTGCACCCTGCTGTTAGATCAGTACGTATTTGCTAAAGCCATGACAACATGGTAAATATTCTGTATCTACAAGTGATTAAGGTCTAAAATGATGCTGCAAATATTTAATTGGCAATATCAGCATGTCCAATATTCATAGTGCGAAAGTGAAGTAAGGGTTGGTTATGTGCTTGTATATTTTCTGCAAATTTAAATTTTACCATTTGCACAGTCTTATAGCATAGGATCAGGCTTTTAGCTAGCATTGTGTACAGGCATATATTGTACGGCCTTTACCAAAAAAAAAAGACAATTGTACATTTTTTGGGATATTTTCCCCTGGAATCTTCGCTCAAATGTTCAAAATTTCACTCCACTGAAACATTTTAATGGCTAAATTAACTTAAAATGTCAAAACCTGCAGGCAAAATATGTTTACTTTTATTATTCTGGTGCTTGCAGTTTGTACCACATACCTTTTAGACGCTAACATCTACTTCCAGCTGCTACGAAAAGTAGGGAAAACCCCCAGAGAAGTGACTGGGCCTTAGGCAGCTCTTGCTAGATTCCCAGTGACGGTGCACTGCCATTATGTGGGGGGCTGAGCGGCTCCGACAGCGTAATAATATTTCAATACTTCAGGATCGTAATCTTGATGAACTGACTGCACACAATGTTTTGAGGTGGACTTTCTCACATAAAATTGTCGTAAAGCCGCTCTCTGCAATTGAACAGCAGAAGCACGATGCTACGTTCACACTACACTTTCTGATAGTTTAAATTAACCTATTAAAAATAATATTGTACCTAAAAATGATCTCATGTCTTCCTTATGTTTTCAACTCTAGTAGAGCAGACATACTTTCAATAATCAGGACAAAAGTTTGCTGTATTACACCTCAAAATGCAGAAAATAGTGTTTCAGAGTCTAAATTTCAAGATTTTCCTGGTGAGGATTCCTCAGACCTCCCTATGCTGTGCAAAGCCTAAAGATGTGATACACCAAGGTGTACACCCTAATTTTCACAGCTTTAAACCTGGATAGGATACTATTGGCTTTGCCCTAAATGGTTAATGTCACAGCGTGATGGAACCAGAGGTTTGAGTATTCAGGTACTCTAACAACTGATATCGCCATCATGTTATTTTCTAATATCGTTCAGCCCTGCTTGTGATCCTGTAATCATGGAACATGAGTAGCATTTAAAGGCATGGGCCTTGATAATCTATCATCTTTTTACTTGGTTACTATAGCTCCCTCTAGGGTTCTTGATCCATGTCCATACAAAGTTATCCGTAGTGTAACTTATGTTGGTGCACAAGCTGAACATATGAGCCGAAATCGAACTGCAACCACCACATGGGGTCTGAAAATAAAAGCTCAGGTCTTGTATTTATCAGAAGACCCATTATTTGTAGTAATTAGGTAATTGTTACTTTTTCTCCAGATCTTCCTGAATAAATGTCCAAACCTCAGAAAGAAACTGCTGGTGCCGTGTATTCTGGACAAGCCCAGTCCGAACTGTTACGTCTGTGCCAGCAAACCAGAGGTCACAGTTAAAGTCAACGTGCAGAAGACAACAGTTCTGTCTCTGCAGGACAAGGTGATGTTTGCATCAAACAGCCACGCAGTGGGTCTTCGCTGCTGCAGGTTTGCAGCATTGGTCTGATGCATTTTCTTGTTCACCTCTTGTTGCATTTCAATCTCTCACTTTAGATCCTAAAGGAACGGTTTGGCATGGTGGCTCCAGATGTTCAGATAGAAGATGGCAAAGGAACCATTCTTATCTCCTCAGAGGAAGGAGAGACAGAAGGTAGGAAGAAACTTAAACCGGTAAAGACATTTTTATCGAACTTGAACATTTGAAACACATTTCCATTTGTAGTTTCTGACCTGATAGTGAAATATTAATCGGGATTAGCCCTCTTTGTCATAAAGCTTGAACTTCCTTCTCAATAGACTGTTAAATAAGTTTCTACAGTCAAAGGAGTCTTCAGATCTGCTGCAAGATAGACAGCTACAGGAAATCCTTCCTGTCTACAGCTGTTAGACAGGAAGATTTTTTTTTGTGAGGGTACATATATAACTTTCATTCCAATACATTTTTAGGAAGCTATTTGTTATTCTATTTTTTTTAACTCGGCTTAGCTTTGTAATCCGCTGTTGCTGTTTTTCTTCCTTGAAATGCAGTTCAAATGCTTCTCCCACAGATAATAACAGGTTTCCTGGATGTTTTATTATTCTATGTTTTTTAACACACTGGGGTCAAATGGAAGCTCATTCTTATTAGGAGGCATTTGCAGAACTTTGACATGCTAAGGAGGTAGTAACTACCTTCAAGAAGAAGCAAAACATGCAACACGATTTTAGAGATTTGCATGATGTTCTATAAATAAGAAAAACTCGGGTCAGATATTATTTGTAGTTTAAAATGTGATTAAGGCGTTGGTTGTTTCCGTGTGGCCACATCGTTCAGTAGAACAAACCATAGTTGTTTTCTTTGTGTTAATAGATTCAACCTTAAACCTCTATTACATAGTGAAAGTGTGTGGAGAATCTCCTGTTTTCTATTGTTGTTTTTAAATGAATGAAAATAAAAATTGCTGTCCTTATTATTTGGGACATTTTTTTGCCAAAGTTCTTGACAGGTAGAATCGGTAACAGTGATTCTACACATCGATGGTTTCTGAAAGCTATGAAAATTATACAGCAATGTACTAATACTAGAAATTTTGATTTCTACTTTTAAATACTTAAGTACTTTTAAATAAATGTATCTTTGAATACTGAAGTATTTTTAAAGTGAGTACTTCAACACTTTGACTTGAGTAGATTATGACCAAGTATCAATACTTTTACTCAAGTACTACTGTTGGGTACTTTGTCCATCACTGCACTAAACAGTTTGATTTTCTTACTCTGGTGGGGAGTCAGTAATGGGTTTGATGTGCACTTGTGGTCGGTCTTTTGGAACCATCTTTAGAAACGGCCATCAGTGGCAGAGAAAACTGTCCCTGCCTGGTGAATAAGAGCACACCACATGATGGGTGGCTTTCATTGTAATGTTTATTCTTATCGTGATTAGTTTCTAGTCAAAAGAACTTTGATTCGTCTAAATGATCCAATCAGAATCAATGATAAAAACCTGAGGAACCTGCTGAAATATCAGAATTTTTTTATTTTATGTACTATTTTTGTTCTTTTTCTTTCTTTTTTTTTTCCCATTAGGGACTCAATACATTATGAGAATATGATTAAATTTGGTTACTGAGGTGTTTAGTGGCCTAAATTATACTTTTGTTATGTAACTGGTGCCATGAAAAAGCTGAATTGAAATCTTTATTCTTCAAAAGGTATTATTTATATTTGTTGTCAGTCACAGCCAGAGAGCTGCCCCAGAAAGGCTGCAAAGAAATAGTTTTATTATCCTGAAATTTGTCGTTATCAGGGTTCTATCATCCAATATCATAAGATTTAAAGTGCATATCGCCCAGCCCTACACCACACCCACACATACACCCAGATAATCCAACCAATCGTTAATAAACTGACTAACATATACAGATGCTATGTAGTACATGGAGGAAAACTCATTTTTCACTGTGGGGAAACTGTAAGGTTATGAATGGGAAAGGGAAAAAAGGGTATTGTCTTTAAACTTTAGCAATACACCTCTAAGTTATGATGTAATATATTGCTCAAAACTGATAGCATCCATCTAAATGTTTCTGCTTCACCACCCTGTAAAATGTTGCAGAGAACCATCCTAGAATGCTGCCTCATCATGCATATTCCTTAGAAAAGCTTAAATTACTCAGAGATCCCAGTGTGCTGAGATGGTAAATAAATGTCCCAGGTTCTACTCTGGTCCACTAAACAAGCTTTATTCACTAAAGCCTTATCCACAGAACCCCACCAGACTGTGGTTCTATTGGATACTGTTTTTTAATCTGCATAATTTCCTCTTCACAGCCAACAACAACAAATTCCTCTCTGAATTTGGGATTCGAAATGGCAGCCGTCTCCAAGCTGACGACTTCCTCCAAGATTACACGCTCCTCATCAACGTACTGCACACGTAGGTGCCTCCATGTTTGTGGAGATTTCTCCAAAAGGGATTTCTCTTTTGGAGAAATTTCCAGAGCAAAGTGAAAATCCTAAAATTTGCATCTTTGTTTGTTGGCAGTGAGGAGCTTGAGCGAGACGTGGAGTTTGAGGTGGTGGGTGAGGCTCCAGACAAAGCTCCTCCCCCTCAGAGCAACAAGGAAGAAGTAAACAGCATCACTAACGGCAACAAAGACTCTGCCCAGCCTTCCACTTCTTGTAAAGGTCTGCATATCCCCATCCTTTTTTTTTTTCTCCAGTGCTGCATGTCTTTCAATCATTTTTCCTTAACAGCAAAAAAGCTGATCATGTGTGCTTTTTGTAAAACACAATTTAAATGTTTGTTTCATGTTTCAGTTTATTTAAAACTAAATGTCTTCACTTTGGTTTTAGTTTGCGTCTTAATGATAACCCGTTTCATATTTGGTTTTAGTTACAGCAGACGATGATGACCTCATGATAATTGACTCTGATGAGGAGGTGGGGGCACCATCCAGTTCTGCGGCAGTAGCAAGTGGCACCAAGAGGAAGCACCCAGACTCAGAGACAGGTGAAGCCTCCACCAAGCGCCCACGGACGGACCAATCAGCTGCGACAAACTATGACGACGATGACATCATTGCTTTGGACTGAATCCCTGTCGGTCCCATCCGAAGGACCCCAATGTTTTGTTTTTTTGCTTCAAACAGAAAGTAGGCTGAGAGAAATAAACCACCAGTTCAATGAAGAACAATTTCATCTTTAGGTCCCTCCCCTTTTTTTGTGCTTTCATACCCACTTTCTGACATCATACTGTAAATAGTCAATATTTTAACAAACTTTTGAAAATGCAGTCATTGCATATTTTTATTCATTTAGAGTCCTGAAATACTTCTCTTGATGGTTTAAAAAAGTGCTTTTTTTTGTAATTTTTTAAAATAAATGTACTGTATTTCTCAAGCAACAGAAGTCGGGATGGTGGTGGAGGTTTTTTGTAAAGCTCGAAAAAGAATATTCACAGGAAAAAGTACATAAGGTGAGCAGGCAGAGGTGTCTGTAGATATGGGGGCCCCTGCGTGTAAAAGCCATTGACGTCTTACGGGTTTGGTGATGAACACAGAGAGAGATTCTGGCCAGTTTGTGCCAAAAGGTTGTTAGTTTGCTACCTCTTTTCCACAGTTGAAACAATTTTTCTGGAAATATGTACCGTCATTAACTTGGCCTAGCTGGGGCATTTGCTCTGGAAGAATGCAAAACATTTTCCCCATAGAGAAGCCAACATGGTTCCCAGAGAAAATGCATTCAGCTCTGGAAATATACAGCGGCTTTAAGTGCGACAGACTGAGAACATGAAGGTCAATTTGAAGCTGGACTTTGGAAACAGAAGCATGGTTAGTTACTGTCAGAGGCTGAGCATCTCTGGTTCTATTGTGTTCATTATTTCATTAGTGTTTTTTTTTTCTTTTTTCAGTAGGTTTTTGGACCAATTTGAAGAAAATAAAGGCAACCATTTCTGACCGTTTTCTGGGCGTTTTCTCTTTTTGCTTTGAAGTTTTGGACCTTCTGACAATAGATAATCACATTTTGGGGAATGTTATGATTGGTGCAATATACAATGTTTTTGAACTAGGGAAGGAAGGGAAAGAACCAACACAAGTCCAGGGAACATCTGCAGACTCCATGTAGGTTGCATGTATTTAAGCCCAAGAACATCTTGCTGCAAGTTGACAGTGCTACCAACGGAGCACAGTTCTTTGAGAGCAAAATAAGTTGCTCTTAGTAAAACTGTTTTCTCTAACAGAGTTCAATACAGCAATCAATATAAGAACCAGACCATTAGTACAGAAGTACAAATAGACTAAAATTTTATTAAAACTTTTAACTTATGGCCCTTGACCTAAATCCAAAACACTCAAACTATATTTCTGGCATTGCAGCAGCCTCTGCAGACTAGCAGATGTTTGGCAGTCTGCTTGTTCATGTCCATGTATGAAAACAGTCAACAGCTGCTTGTTAGGATGTTTGTGAAGCCTGTATGTTAATGAGGTACCTGATTTGTTCAAATTTTATCACAACAGATGAGTAAATTATACATCTTAGGGGTTTTTGACAAAGTTACTGCCCTTTGTTATTTAGATCTGGCATTCTTCATAAAGAGTGATGCAACTCTGAAGCTCGTAAACAAGCTGGAGAAAACTTGGGGTCAAAAGTCAGAAAATATCTCTTGAGTCTTTTCCAACCAGTTTAGGTGAAAAACATGCAAAAAGATAAATGCTGCATTTTATATATCTACACATAATTTTTTTCAGGGTTTCATTTGACAGATGATAGACTTTTCAGGCTGACAAATTATGGGAAAGGGCGCGTTATAAGGGTGATCTATATATTTATATAAACTGTAAATAGAAATATTCACCCCAAAGTATAACTTTTTACAGGTGCTCTGAGGCATACTACATGAAAAAGCTGGCTGATTTGATATCCCAGAGACGGTATTTAGATTTTATTGAATAACTTTTTGTATGACCTTCAACCTGTTGGATTATTTGTGTGGGGTAGGTGTGTGTACAAGTTTGTCTCCTGGAATTAAGATTATCACAATGACAAGGAGCATACTAATTTTGATTGATTGTTTGATTGACTATATTGATCTGACAGTGGAGAAATTTAATTATATCAGTTCAATAGTGAAACAGAAGATGCCAAAAGGAGGAAAAGGTGCATTGGGGTATATACAGTTAATACAGTGCATCCACGTGTATATAAAGATATATCTATATGTGATGCTGTGTTTTATTATTTCTTTTTTCAAGGGAAACATGTATTTTTTTCTCCATATTCCAACCATTTTGATCTAATAAATGCTCCTTTTGCTAATTCGATGTACATTCAATTAATTTCAAGTTGCATGTCTTTTTTTTTTTCTTTTTTCCTTATCTAAAGGCGGGTCTTTTATTAATGAGTTCAGCTCTTCAAGTAGTTTGGTTTCTTTTTCAGTGTTCGATTTCAATTCTTTATATTGTACATCCGTTAGCTTTAAATTTGAAGGACTCACATTTCTGGAAGTTGGTCATATGTTGATCATCAGATGTATTATTCCAAGTAGTTTAACCTTATAAAAAAAAAAAAGTCAGGTCTCTTAGTAGCGTATTGTTCAGTTTCTAGTATCCCTTTAATTTTCCAGATTGATCTTCTTTTCTTATATGTTATTATTTTATGATGTTCGTGGGGCATTTGAATGGGATGGAAGATGAAGAAATTAACAAGTCTATTGTGGAGTGGTGTGATCTATTGGTATTTGACCATGTAAAACCTATTGTATATAGATTTTTGCCTCTTTAACAAAGGTACCAATAATTACTGTGACGTCAGTTTAAACTGTTGACAGTTTCGTATCCGTTGTCATGTTGTTGCTAACGCCCCTCAGAGGAGGCCTCTGATTGGTCAGATTCCAAGCCCCCCCTGCCACTGTACCCGACTGTTCCAGTGAACCACCGAGGGTCTATTTCAGCCGTACGCGGCGAACCGCGCGATAAAAGCTGCTAAAAACGAAGGTAGTGTGTCTGTATAGCTTTGGTTTACACGTTTTTTTGTTTTTGTGGTCGAACTAAACGCATTTCTCCGCCCTTTAGGTGTGCAGAAGGATACAGAGGAAGAAGCAGCAGCCGTCCGATACATTGTTTTGCTAACTTCGGAGTTTTAACAGCTAGCCGGGTCTTCTCTTACCGAAAGCCGATACAATATTTAAAACGTTTTATGTGAAGCGGGCATCTTCAGCAGGAGGAAAATGGTCACTTTCTCTGCAGCGATTAGACCTCTGGTCTCTCATCTTCAGCGACATCTCAGACACGTCAGGAGTCCCAGGATAACTCCTGTCCGACAGTGCAACCTCACAGCATGCTCCAGCAAATATGTGCTGTCTCAGAGTGAGTAGAGATAATATCTGTACGTCATTGTGTTTTAGTGTGGACCTTTCATTTTAAGTCAAAGAAAGAGGAAATGGGGAAATACTGCTTTAAGAGAGGCACGACCAGGTGTTGACTTTGCCTAATTATGCCCAGCTGGAGCCCTTTGCCCCACATAGCTGCCTATTGTAGTTCAATGAAAGCTTTTATTGGTAGTTTGCATTACCTGCTATTCCTAATAACTCTTTAGCTTTTCTATCCGATTTTAGCACCAAGATGAACCTCAACCTTTATGTTCTACTTATCCTCTCTTTTATTTAGTCTGTTTTTTTTTTTAGATCTTTATCCAACCTTTCCCTTCAGTTTTTTTCCCCCTTCCCTTCACAAAGGTTTAAACACACCCAAGCTGGTCTGGCAAGTCCAGATTCATTCCTAACACCACCCACTTACATAAGCTGTCTTTATCCTGTTTGAAAACATGCAGAAACTAGAAATTGTGTAGCAAAGCTGAACATTTAAGCCACAATCATAAATTAAGTTCATGTTCAACTCCTGTGATGTGTCATGATCAACTTGGAAACATTGTTTGCTTTCTCTGTGGGATGTTTGTTGAAAAGATAAGCTCCCAAAGTGATCAGTTTAGCTTTGCCACAAAAGAGAGACATTTTAATCCTTTGAAGAAGTGATCCACGGAAAATACGAGATGGGACAGGATAATGAGAAACAATAGGAACACCAAACTGGGCTGATGAGACTCTTTGAATTCAGCTCAGTTTTAATGTTAAATTCAAGTTATTAAGGAACAAAACTTTTTTTCAGCTGTATGAAAAAGTGCACATGACTCTTAGCTTTAAAAAAAAAAACCTTCTCTTTGGTGGCATCTGGTGTCCAAAATGATAAATCTAGATTTTTATGAAATTCTCCAGTATGACTGTTCAGTTGAAAGATTTTTGATCAATTTGTCAAGTGTGAGTCTATAATTGTGGTGCTTTGATCATGAACACAACAAAGTCTCAATCCAGCTTCTTGACATTTATAAATACCAAAAAAATAGTGGTTAAATCCTTGACATGCCAGACACACAACCACACACATTCAATCACAGCTAAGGTTAGTCTAAAACGATCAATTAACAGATATGTTTTTGGACTGATTGATAAGGTCAGATGACTGTTAAAGAAAACATATGTGTGGGAGAACATGTTTGACTTTTAACAGCACTTTATTTACACAATTCAAACATATATATATACAATTGACGTAAAACAAGTGTCAGTTAAAATCACTATTATAGTAAAACGAGTGTCAGTTAAAAATCATTAAATGAGGAGCTTGTTAAAATGCAGTTCTCCATCATCTGACACGGTACATAAAATGTTTTTAAAACCCCACAACTGAATGAAATCCTCCATGTTCTGTGTGGCCCTGTGGAAGTGAAACTCCAGCCTGATCCTGGCTTTAATGTTGCACTTCCACAGACCCACGGAGTGAAGGGGAGGTCTCTCCTGCAGTCTGTCTCTACGGGACAAATAAATATCCATTTTAGCTTCACTGATTAAAAAGTTCAAAAGTCTGGCCTTTGCCTTGTTGCTTTTGTTTTGACACACTCCTCCAATAAACAGAGATGTTGTAAAAACTGTGCCAAAAAGACTAAAAACATTTGTTAAAAGGCAAAAAATGGTCTTTAGTCTGACGCAGTCCATAAAAACATGAAAAACATTTTCAGACAGACTGCAGAAGGGACACTCGTTTAAAACACCCCGATTGATGACGGATAAAAACGAGTTTGTGGCGATGGTGCCGTGTAGAATCCTCCATTGGAGATCGCTAGTTCTTTTTTTAATTGGCGGCTTATATAAAGTCCTCCACTAGGGTGCTCTGCCAGCAATTTAGAAAAGAACATGTTTGGACTTAAAACCAGTGGGCTTTTAATTAATAGCTGGCTGATAAACATATTTGATATAGTATGTTGTGGGACTGGGCAATTAATTGCGTGTTAGATATATTCACAATTGAACGAAATGCAATTTTCAAATCACAGAGCCATTTATTACATTTTACAAGAATGAGTGGCAAAATTTCTCCCTCCAGCCCTTAGGTGGCGGTAATTTGCTTAAAGTGGGTTTGCAACCGCACAGTTGGGAAGAGAGTACGGTTTACTGTGCCCAAGGTTACAGTAAAATCCTGCAACAACAGACTGGAAAAGCAAGCGTTCGGGATCACAAAAAACCCGTATTTCAAACATTTATAGGATTGTGGTGTCTTCAAGGGAAAATTAAAAATAAATAGCAATCACAATATTGGTTTGACAAAATCATTCAGCCCTAGTATGTTGCTCAGTGCTAATATGTTTTTGATTCGCTAAATTAAACAAATGCAAATTAAACTCATCTTATGATGATGTAAAGTTTCTGTTTGGAGTTGATGGAAACTCGAAAGTTTTATTTCCTTTCATACTGTGTTTTTTTTTTTTTTTTTTCTTCAACCATACACATCCATATGCATTCCTAATGATCAGTTTGTCTGTGTCATAATATGCCTAAAATAATTTATATAGCTCTCACTACATCTTTTTTTAGACTTACTACAGTCTGGCCCCTGTTATATTACTACCTATCTTATATGTTCACCCTAATGTTTAACAGAAGGAAAGGCTTGAAAATGAGCCATGTAACTAATTGCACTTGGTGAACTGAGTTACTGGAATAAAGGAACCTTTTTTTAACAATCTTATTTATTTAATAGTTGACTGTATAAAACCAACTCAGGCCAGTGCAACCAACTAATATAAACAGATTTAAATACAGCTAAATATAGTCCAGTTGTATATGAATTATGTTATAGTTTAATTAATAAAGTATAGATGAGTGCATTCGTTTTTTAATGCTTATTTGGAAAGGGACATTTAAAGAACAAATTTCATGGGCCAAATCATTTCTGTATTATCTAAATTAAATATTACATATTTTAAACAAATAGTGACTCGGTTTATAAAAGAGAATCTAGATTAGGACAGAAATAATTTCTAAAGTAAAGTTAACGACCCTGTACACATTTAAGATTCAACTAAATTCCTTACAGTGTGATTCTTTTTTACTTCCAGTTATTTAGACACATTTGAAAACATTACATTTATTTAAACCAATTTTATTTATTGTTATTTATTATTTTAACATCTAGATATGTTTTCTTGTAGAGTACTATGTGACTTATGGTTAGGAAAGTTTTAGCCTTTAAACCAATTTTATTTTATTTATAGATCTTAATTGAATAGAAAAATGTTTTCAGAATCCCTTTGGTCAAAAGAGCTAGCCTGGGTGCCATTCCGAACTTAGTCCCGCCCACAAGGTTTGAGGTCGGGAAGTTCGGTCTGGCTCTGCTCCATAGTAGCGCGAGTATTATCGCCCACTGTCAGGCGATCCAATCAAATTGTCAGGGCGGGCTTTATACTATGATGGACAGATGATCAACAGTAACGTAATCAACCACGTGACCAAAGCACACTTGGGTGACAACAACAATGGCTGCCGCCGGAGAGTTGAGGTGAGTAGATTCTGCTATTAGGTCTGTTCTAGAAGATATCGACAGCAATTTAATTTTAAAAGAGGAACAGAGAAACGCGATCAAGGCTAATCTTCTTATTCTAGGCATGAAACTGCACGCTTTGATTTTTGTTGACAACAACTATGCGTTGCTTAACACACGTCACGCACTCCGTTGCTCTTATTGGTTGTACGTCTGTCCAATTGAGTGCAGAGGCATTTTTTTCCCTGGTTCGTTCAAAACACGCCCCATAATCACAGCTCTATCGAGCAGTATCAGACTCATATTCTGACTAGAATTGAGTAGGACTACGTCAGGCTACAAAAGAGCTGGCCCCTATATCAAATTTTAAAAAATAACATTCTTACAAAGAAAGATAAGATGAGAGCTTATATAGTAAAGCTAAACTAATGGGCTTGGATAAATAATATTTGCCTCTAAGTCTTTTTAAATGTAATGTGAACAGAACTGAGTGCCTCTACAGTTTGAATTGTATTTTTTTATTGTGATTTTATGGAAAATGCGATTAATTGCCCACTATGGTTTATGTCATGTTGGTCTGTTTTGAATTATAATTATACTCTTATGTGGGCCATTAGGTTATTGTGTATTCTGTTTCTCATGTTTATCAACAGGCGCTTGTTTATGTCAGTGTGACATTTGGGACAAAACTTAAATTCAGGGAACCTTTTTAGAATGACTTAATAAAAAGAAAAACCTATCAAGATAAATATTAAATATCACACATTCAGCTTCAAATAAGCTAAACATAATTTTTGGTCTATGTCTTTAGAGGGTCATTAATTTATCAGTTTCTAATTTTAATCAAAGCCGGTTGCTCAGTGGTGCAGGGAGTAGCACTGCTGCTTTGTAGCAAGACGGTTCTGGATTCCATTTCCAGCCCAGGGTCTTTCTGCATGGAGTTTGCATGTTCTCCCTGTGCACGCGTGGGTTCTCTCTGGGTACACCGGCTTCCTCCAACAGACCAAAAAATATGACTGTCAGGTTATTTAACTTCTCTAAATTCTCCTTGAATGGTTGTTTGTCTCTGTGTTGCCCTGCGATGGACTGGCAACCTGTCCAGCGTGTACTCCGCCTCTCGCCCATAGACTGCTGGAGATAGGCACCAGCACCCCTGACAACCCCACTTGGGATATGCGTGGCGGAAAATGGATGGACTGGATGGATGGATATTTTTCATTTTTGTTGATTTTAGTGCTGCAACTAATGATTATTTTGCAAATCGATTAATCTGTTGATAATGTTTTTGATTAATAATAAGATAGCCAAAGATTCCTTAAAGACTTTTTTCGAAAATAAACCACGTGACACTCAAACTTTTCCCCTTCAGAAATTCTGGATAGAGCATAATGACAGATTAAATAAAAAAAAAATCTTGAATGCAAAGTGTTTTTTTTTTTTTTTTTACACAATTTTAGTATAATTACTGCTCTAAATGAGTCGCTCTGTCAGCTAAAGGCATGTTTTAGAGTCTTTATACTCCAGTTAATGATTATTCGATTACTAAATTAGTTAACAATTATTTCAATAATCTATTAATCGACAATAATCTGATGGTTTGAGCCCTAATTGATTGTATTGCTTTTGTGGTCATCCGAAACTGCTCTGTTAGAGCTATTCCTGTGTCCTAGTCCAAGGTGAAGCAACATCAGCTCCTCCCTCTGCTCAAATCAAGCCTATCCTGAGATTTGGTCTCTGAATCATTGTCCATTTAGCTGATTTCACAATGTTGTTAAATATTAACGAATTAAACTGATCAAAGAGCTTAGAACAAAACAATGTTTGAGCAGAAAGGGCTGTGAAAGCAGCTATTGTGTGACTTGGAAACAACAGGAGGAGGAGCCTGTGAAATCTGAAGATGAAGGTCAGCTCCCAGTCAGACCTGTTCGGCTTGGTCCTCAGTAGAGACTTTAAACCTTCAGCTGAGTCAATGAAGGGGAAACCAGCTTGTTCTGCCTGATTCTTTTGGTTTGGTTGACGAAGGATGTTTTTTTTTCTTTAAGTACAATAGATACAGTTTCCCTCCTTAATTGGACTGTTTTCTGTACCCGAAGGAGAAACGGGATAGCTCTGGAAAGCAAATAGAGTTTGGGGTAATTAGGAGTCAGAACCACTGACAGACGTTGACCTGCAAGAGGTCCTGGTCTTTTTCCCCTGCTGTGGAGTGGAGCTGGGGGAATGCCAGGACATTCCGAAAGTCTCTTTCTGTACAGCCGGCCCACTTCTCTCTTTTTTAGTAGTTTCCTTTAAAAAAAAGAGGAGTAGAAGGAAGCACCATTGCTTCCGGACTCATTTTCTCCCTTTAGTTCCTCCTTAAGAAACGAAGGACTGGATCTTTGTAGCGCTGCCTCATTGTAGCTTATATATGTTGTTTTTTGTGAAGCACCTTTGATCTGTTTTAAAAATGGACTGTCTGAAAAAGCAGGAGGAGGCAGAGCACAACAGAGAAAGTAGGTGTCAGCATTTTCTTTCTTTGACTGAAATGATGGAAACGGCATCGGCGTAATGAAATCTAATGTATTATTACATTTTTTAATCCCCCTTTTTTTTCTTCTTCTTCTCTTCTTCCCTCTCCTCCTCTCCAGTGCATCCCATGTGGCAGGGACCCCTCGTGGTACCAGGAGGCGATCATCAGTCTCCCATCGATATTGCAGTGAGAAAAACGGTCTTTGATTCGGAGCTGAAACCTCTGGTGACGAGCTACGACCCAGAGACCTGCCAGCAAATCTGGAATAATGGTTATTCCTTTCTGGTCGAATATGACGACACCACAAACAAGAACAGTGAGTCATTTTTGAATGTTTGTTAAAGACAAACAAATGGGTAATTTCTGAAAGAAATAAATGTTTTTTGTTTGTTTTTTCTCTAAAAAGTAAAAAAATTGTTAATTGAACCCTTATTCTGACATCCTGTCTGCAAACTGTAATTTCTCTTTAAATCTAGAGTGCATTGCAGGGAAATCTCAGCAGGGAGAGTGCATGTTTTGATCTATGTAAGAGGATTATCTCCTCCCCCACTCCCCCTTTGAAGACCCCCACTCATATGTAGGAAAATCCAGTAATCAACCCTAAAGTCAAAATACCATGTGCATTTGGTGACCCTCATGTGACTCGTGTTTTATTTTTTAAAGATCTCTGTCTGAACTAGAAATTGTACCTTTGGCATCATGATTACCAGATTTTTATCAACATAGCATTACATTAAATACGAGGTTTGTTTCAGATGTATTTAAATGTTCAAATGAGTTAGATCTCCCTGCTTTGTATTCAGAATCGAAAGAACAAACAGTTTATGTAGTGAAATGTTGAGGGCAGGAATTTATGACTCCTGTAAAAACCAAGAAGCACTTTATTGATCTCAGTTTAAGAAAATGTGCAATGGCACATTTTAAGCAACATAAATGGCAGAGAAGAAGGCAACTTGAGTCTGTTTTATGTTTATAAAGTTGGCACCATAAAAGTTAAACAGTATTTACTTTTAGGGGCTGTAGTCCCTCCCTTTATGCTTTCCTGGAATGTTCCTGGTCAGTGGTTTGCTTGAATAACCTGTTCCTCCAGAGCCTTTGTGGAAGAAAAAAAAAAGCAGCACACCTAGAGACTGTTTCCAAAGTTATGTTGCTGCCTCTTTTCAAAAAGGATTCAATAAATGTTTCCTTTAATCTGCACACACACAGCATTCCATAATGAGAACATGGAAAGAGGTTTGGGGTTTTTGCCAAATAAATTGTAAATCAAAATGAAAAAAAAAAAATGGTTATACACACAGCCTTTTTTTTATAAGGTGTAAAATGGTGTCCAGCTCACGGCACAGTGGAAGAGCATTCATTGCCAATCAGTTCACACCTACATGTCATGTTTTCCCCCTCTCTGTATAGCATTAAGGCAGCAAATGTGCCCCAAACCCTTTAACAGGTTAAGAATAAAACAGAAAACCATTGGGCTTCCACTCTTCATTATTAAGATGTCTCCAAAAGGACCCTTAATTCATTTTCTACAGTCTGATGGTCACCTGTCCAGCTGCCAGGTATTAAGGTGGAAGCGTTACAATATGTCAATTTTTGCCGGAGGGACTGGTACACTTGAGAAAATAGAAGAGAAAGCATTATGTGGAAATATTATAGGAGGTTACAGCTTGGGCACAAATGGGTCTTCTTATAAACAATAACGTAAACCCTCCTGCTTAAGTATTTACAATGTCGGTGTTTTCAAGTGGCCATCACAAAGTCCTGATCTCAGTTTTATAGAAAATGTGTACATAGAGCTGGAGAGAGCAGAACTAAAGCTTGCTGTGCGAGCACCTGACCCAGTTACCTTATGAGGATTGGAGCTAAATCCCAGAAAACTATTAATAGAAGGTGGTGGGTGAAAAAAACAGTTTCTACAGTTTAAAATGTAGATCTAGAAAAATAAAAATAGAGAAACATTCACATTTGAATTTCCTTATATTAGCCGTAGCTACAATGAGGAGGTAATTTCCATATTTGGTCATACCCTGGTGTAGTTATGCTTCATTCTGTTACTAACATTTGGGAGCTGAACTGCTTTCTCTCTGTTTGAGATCCTCCAGTCCGAGGCTGGTTATGGTTCCTCTTTGTAGCACAAAGGGGGAAGTCGGCCTGTCAGAGCTGAGGCCCCACATTGTGGATTGCGTTGCCTCCATCTTTGCACTGTCCTGATTGTGTTAATACAGAAGATCTATTCATTCAGATCATCTTCTAACCAGGTCTATGCTGTATTATGTTGAATATATATTGTTCTCATCTCTTTAATGTTTTTCTTGTCTTTTTTGTATAGCTGTTTTATCATGAAGTATTGTTTGTTTTTTATGTCCTGTGAAGAGTGTCGTATACAATATACGATCAAATATCTTATCTTGATGAATTGCCTTGATCTGCTGCAACAAATCTTCACAAATTCCTCGGGATTCAGTTTCTGCATGCCATTAATTTTTTTCTGGCACTTGTTTATTTCAGGAAGAGTTTTAATACGTAGTTATTCAGAAACTAAAAAGAATTAACAAAAGTTTGTGCTAATTATTTTTCAATAAAACCTCTATCTGAAGTCACCAATATTAATGCATGTTTTCCTGATATCCTGCAGCTCTTGTGCTGATGCACATTCTTTGTTTGTTGTGCAGCACTGAAGGGGGGTCCCTTACGGGACGAGTTTAGGCTGTGTCAGTTCCATTTCCACTGGGGTGAGACCAACGACTGGGGTTCAGAGCACACTGTGGACCGAAGGCTGTTTCCTGCAGAGGTACTGTGTCAGCATTAACCAGCATGATTCCATATCAAAAAAAAAAAAGGTTTGATCTTTTCTTTTGTAGTGTCTGCATAGGGACAAAAACGATGCCAACCAGACTTAAACCAAAATCAGTTGTCTGCAACCTGAAAAATGACTTCTGCCTGAAAAATGTCTGTTTCAGATCATCTTGCTACCAATACTACAACAATAAAGGTTTCCTTGATGTCAGTGGTTATTTACAATGTGAAAATGTTCCAGACCAGAGATTTCTTAATGAATTAAATGTTTTTAGACATGTTTGATACTGAATTAGTGTGGTTAAAAAAAGCTGTATATTATTATAACATATAAATAACTGTCATACACACAGTTGTACAATTTAAAGCTCTATAAGTGGATCACCAACCTTAACTTGGCATATTATCAATTTAAGCTTGCAATCTTTTTTAAATTGGCTGTCAGTTTGTCTGAGCAATCCAACTCTGTGGTATTTTTTCAAACTTGAGTTAAGAAAGTGATGCCTGGCTTACATGGAGACAAACGGCTCAGCGTCTCTTAACAGAATTCAGCTGGAAAAAAAAATCACAACAATTCTAATAACCCAGCATCTGAGCGCTCATTATTTAACACAATGCTAATCCGCTTGTCATGCAAAAGTTTAAATTTGTGTTAAAGCTGACAGGGACATAAATATAAAGATTGAATGATTAAATGATTAGATTGAATGGCTGCCACTTCAACTGAAACAAGTTTGCTAAAAGAAAGCCCATGAAAACACATCAGGCAGTGAAGTCCTCCTTTTCTTATGGGAACATAATTTTAACTCATTATAGGTCAGATTTAAAAACAATTGATCAAAGCAACACAAAGAAGTGTTTTTTTTTTTTTTTTTTGAAAGTTCCAGACAAACTTTTTAATCATTTGCAAATGTTGAACTTGCATCTACTGGCAAAAAAATTAAATAAGAAAAAAAACATTTGAGGTAATTATGGAGAAATGAGTTCATCAACATGACACAAAACCTATTTTATCTACTAGGTGAACATTGTTGTTGTAAATCACACTAGATGAAAAAATCAATTGTTCTAAACCAATCCCTATTTCCAGGTCAGGTAAAGGACAGAATTTACAAAAAGAATGACAATTAGTTCTTTGTTTGTTCAAATGAACCTACTCTTTAATCAGACACAAGAAATTGTTTTGTTTTTTAAGAGCTAACAAGCTAAAGTTATAAAGTTAAGATAACTGGAGGTGAAGTTTTCTAGAAGGCGTTTTGCCTCTCATCAAAGAAGCTTCTTCAGTTCTAACTGGTGGTGAGCAGCACTGAAATTAATGCACTGTAAGCTTGGTTTATGCTAGACGTGTACTTTTGGTCCGTGCAGCCACATTACATCATTTTGGGTTTTTAATTCAAATGAAGACAGTCGTTTGCAGACATCATCCCTATTCTGGACAAGAAGACTGAGGGTTTGAGAGAACGTCACGTCATGTTCCCTATACTGAACTTTTCAAACTTGACCATGACCTGGATGACTGAGAATCTTCACGGATAAGCTAATAAGCTACAGGATGTCTGTCTGTGTCTAAACAGAGTATTTGTTTTATCTGCTGTATTTTTTCCTTCCTGAGAGAGGAGAAGTTAAATAAATATGATTTTTTTTCGCTCTGCTGTGAGCTGTCCTTAACCACTACTGTCCAGCTCCATGTCCCTTAGCTCTAATATTTGTTTGTTTGGATGAGGGACATTTATTTCTTTGTTTTTCCATCCTTATGTAACAAGATTTTCCAGTGACTGTGTGAATGTTGTCCCTGAAGCCGGGTGTTTGTTGCTGGGAGTGTTCCCACATCACAGTTCCCATCAGTCTGGGTTTGGGCGAAAGTGTGTGTGGCATCAGGTTGCAGCCACTGCTGATTAAAATAGATTGCTTTCCATGTTTTCAGTCCAACTTTATCGTGTCCTCATGTGTTTTGGGTGTTTTCAGCTCCACTTGGTCCACTGGAACTCTGACAGGTACTCTCTGTTCGAGGAGGCGGTGATGGAGAAAAACGGACTCGCCGTCATAGGAATTTTTCTGAAGGTCCGTTCTCATTCAACAAACACCTTTGATTGTGACTCTGCTACTTGTTGTTGAATGGTTTATAATGGTGTTGGATGCTTCAGCTGTTTTAAGCTGATTTTTAAGAGACGAACTGTGACTTTAATCCAGATTAATGTCTTATCTTGGTGTAGGTGGGAAAAAGACACGAGGGGCTGCAGAAGCTGGTCGACGCTCTTCCAAGTATCAGACACAAGGTCAGTTTTACTAACATGGAAAATGCCTCCTTAAGAGCAGCAGTTTCCAGATTCAAAGTTTATCATCCTTGTACTCGCCTAGAAATAAGTACTGAATGTGAAATATTTGCATGAAACAAAGTAAAAAAAGAACAAATTATTGAGAAATTGATTAAGTTTCTCAGATGTTTGCCTTGATACAAGAGAGCTGTTTTATCACTTTTTTGTGTTGAAAGTTTAATAATTTGCGGGTCTAAAATTGTTTTTAGGTCATTAGCAGCAATGAAATCGGAGATTTTTTTTTTTCTTCCTGCTTTTAGCCAAGTTTAGGAATGGGTGGGCTCACCTCTGCTTTTGAACAAACAGTTACTGATGCTTTGTGGCTCTATCTACTATAATATTAGAAAGAAATGGTGGAAAACATGGCTTATTAAAAATACCTTTAAGCTTATTTAACATTTCTTTTGGAAGATAGAAAATGTTGTCCTGATATTTTTTTTTTTTATTCTCTAACTACATTATCTACCTTTACTGGAGAGTCAAACTGTTTCCCATCCTGTCAGGGGCCTCACATATTTATTTATTCCTAGGGGCATAAATGGCCCCTGGGCATCACTCTGGGCACCCCTGCAGTTGCATAATTACCACAAACCAAAGTCCTTTAGATGTGGCGTCCTCTGCTGGTGTTACAACACAATTACACAGGACCATTCCGGCTGGATCACGGGTAGTTAACTTGAAGTTGGGCTAAACTAGACACTGTGATGTGAGGTAGATTCAAACATCTGGGCCTGAACATCAGCCAGATGAAGTTTTGGTTCAGACTTTAGGGTCTTTCTGACTTCAGCATTATAACTCCCAAAAATACAGACGATATTTGCTACAATTCTTCCTCCTCTGTCTTTGTCTGCCTGCAGGACAGCGTTGTAGAGTTCAGGCGGTTCGATCCAGGTTGTCTGCTGCCGTCCAACATCGATGACTACTGGACATACCACGGCTCTCTGACCACGCCTCCTCTGACTGAATCTGTCACCTGGATCGTCATGAAGCAGCACATAGAAGTCAGCCATGACCAGGTACTGTCTTCTATTTGAATCATGTCTTACTCGAGCATGAAGATCATTTCAAGCACAAATAAATTAAGCATTAATTGTGTTTTGTATATTTAAAAATGGACAGACGTCTATACTCTTCCTGTTGTTTAAATATCCCTAAGATCTTTTAGCTCCAGGGAATTTGCCTCTTCTGTTTAAGGAAGAGGAAGGGACCTAGTATTTAGTGTGCATTTTTTTATACCTTTAGGTATCTAAACTGATATCATCCCAAGAGCTGTCTTCACTGCCCCCATGTGGCCAAGTATATTCAGTGCAGTTAAATCTAACCAAACCTTGTCCAGCCTGATATGTCATCTGTTCTGAGCACTCAGATCTCAGCTACACATTAAACTCATTCATAAACTAGCAGCGAGGTCACAGTGTCCTGTTAGCTGAGCAGCGGACAGAACACTAACCGCGATGTTTCTCCAACATCTCATAAAACTGTTGGTATTCAGAGATTTCACAGTTGTTTGAAGCTCATGAAAATTTGTTGTAGTCCAGAGATTCTGTGTGAGGGGAAGTACTGCAGGGAAGTCAAATGGAAACCGACAGCACGTGTAATATCAACCCATAAAAGCACCACAGCTGTAAATGCCACCTGGCTGCTCGTCGGTTGCACCTGCTGCTCTTCACACCTTTGTTACACATAGTTTTGTGTCAGTGACAGTTTTTCATTTAATTCTAGAGAAGGCCAAACCTCCTCTGTAAACTTCCTAAAATAACTGGTAAAATATGCATTGCCAAACTTCATAAATGTAGTTATTAAAGTGCATTAAATATTAGCTAAAATGCGGCTGGTTTCAGAAGTATGTTGCGCATTGATCAGCTGTTCTACGTGATCTCCCCTCTGCTCTGGAGCAGCAAAACGCAGCCTCTATGAAAAATCCCTGGTGAGTCTATTGAACTAAGCGGCAAGAAAGTAGAGCCCTGATTGGATGACTCACTGTCTTTTCCAGCTATGCTAAACCTCTTAGAGGGTCTATAGAGCAGAGCTTGGAGAGCTTACAGAGGAAGACTGTTGTTGGTGGAGTTGTTGTTCTTTCCGTTTCAATTCAGAGTATATGTCCAGAAGTTAGATTTATAACATGAACGCACCTAAGCGCTTGTTTCTGCTCCTCTTTATGATGGCAGATCAACAACACCCTGCAGATTAACTCTGGATCTGCTTATTCAATCAACACCATCGTACAGCCCTTTAAGATCCCAACCCACAATGAAAAGCTCAATTTTTCCCCCCAGTTTTTCTTGTTAAAGTTCTGTTGATTTCCAGCATCTTTAGCTTTCTTAAACTAATCCAGTTCAGAAGTGTCATAGCTGTAGCTCCGCAGAAAGAGGGGAAAAACATCTAAGCTGAACAGTGAACCCAGGTAGTTCCATTTAACATTCAATAAAGCCTGTATGTGCCCCATGATGTCAAAACTTTTATTCTAACAAAGATGTTTTAAAGACTACATTTTCTTTATATGTGTGTCTGTTTTTCTTTCTTTCAGCTGGCGGTCTTCAGGAGCCTCCTGTTCACCTCAGCTGAGGAGGACGTTCAGAAGAGCATGGTGAATAACTTCCGGGTGCAGCAGCCTCTGCGGGGTCGCACCGTCCGCTCCTCCTTTACTCCGTTCCTGCAGGAGGCGCCGTAAGCTAGAGACGACAAGCAGAGCCTTCAATGCTGCTGGACTGATTAACAACATGCTGGTGCTTAACAGGACTAAGGAAACTTTTAATGTTCAGCTGCCTCTGAGAGCTTCATGCTGTTTTTATTCAAGTACAATCATCATATGTTTTATTTTGATAATGAACAGTTTTACACATGATGAAAGAAAACCTTTTTAGAGATTTATCTTTGCTCAGTTTTTGGTTTGACCGTTTCACAGCAGTTATCAATAAGGGAATAAGGGTCACCAAAGGGGGTTCAATTCACTAAAAACATATGAATTTTATTACCTTAAGTTTTATTTAATATACACTTTGTTGGGTTTGTTTCAGCCTCCACTTGGAGTCAAATTGAGCTGCAGCTGGTCTGAGCTGCTGTCTGTTTACAGTGAAATGCCCTGGAGATTTTTACAAATAACTTTTACAGAAATGTGCATAATTATCAAAACAAACAATTGTTTTACTGGATGTTTTCTTCCATCTGTTACAAAGAGATTATACTGAATACGTATGAAATTAATTTTCAACAACCTTTTTTGTTTTTTTTAACCTTTCTCAGCCTTTGTTACTAAGACGCACAAACATGTAAAGTTACAGCAGCATAAGCACATAATAGGAAAACACTGAGGAGGAGATGTACGGGGGAACAGGGTATGCAATGCTACACGACTTACAGACTGACAGTGATGCTTTGCCTTGAACAGAAGAAAAGGAGTGATGATGCCTTCTTCTACCTTCATCTACCTTTAGTTCATCTACCATTAGAATAGGTAGATGAACTCCACAGGGGCCACAGCAGGTTGTGTTTGGTTGTTTTTTTATCTATTTACGCATTAAAGCTACAGTGTGTAATAATTACAGGCATATAAAGTCAGAAATTTAATATATTATACATAACTATGTTATTTATCATCACCTATGAGCTCAGCCTTTTAACCATAATATTTGCGTTGCCTTAGAATTCGTTATTTATAATTACATAGGAGCGGGTCTCGCAGCCATGGAGGCTGACATCTTTGCGCTACGGCAAGCGCAGAGGCAACAAACTAGCGATTGCGAGATCTCCCATGACGCTCAAAAATAACTACGGCAAGTTGAGAGAGATTAACTGAGACGGTACTGAACAGTAGATGGCAGTATTATGCCTGAGAAGCGTTTAGTCTGCCTGAAACCAAAGAAGAAGAAGAAGCAGGTATACTGCGCCTCAGTAACAAGAAAGGTGAACAAGGCGGCAGGCGTGAGTGACTTTGCAAACTGTTTGGCACTGTGTGGCCAAACATCAGACGAATGGAGGATCATGCCTACTCTGTATCACAACGAAAAGCGGCAGACACCGAACCCCCGTCATCTAAGAAGCGGAAACACGACGAGAATAAACGCAAGCGGGACAAGAAACGGCAAAAAACACGGATCAACATTGGCACGGCATTTACACGATGGAAGTCACTGATGGAGGAAAAAGGTTTTCAAAGTGACGCTCAAGTTGCCAGTTTTCTCTTGGACAGGTAATTAATCCTACACACACAATTGTCTAATATCACTGCAGTTTTTGGAGTACAGGATGCTCAGACCTGTCTAAAACAATAACATGCTGCGTGATGATGCTGTTACTCTCCAGTATACTTATTCAGCAACGTCCCTGACGTTTCACAGGTAATGATTCAGTAATTTTCTGTAAAATAATTTTCTGGATATATACCTCGGTTACTTCTCTGCGGCTCCTTTGGAGATCTTCAAGCCTTTCCTCCTCTGCTCTCACCCCGCTGGCTCCCCTCTCTCGCCTGGCCCTAGCTGCACGGCCTCCCTGCCTTCGCCCTCGTCCTCTCCCTCTCCCTCGCGTTGTAACCCCCGTGCCACCAAAATGACTTGGACTCTGTAAACGGGGGATATATATTCTTCCAGCGAACACAATCTCGCTGTTAAACTAATGACTACAATTACTTCGTCTGTTTATATCACCATGCAAAGCAGCTCACCAAGACGTCACAACGATGTAGAAAAAATAACGGGTATATTTATTATCTTAAGTCTACATGAAATCTATACCCTACACAGACTAATGAAATACTATCTGTAAAATTATCTATGTAAACAAACCTCATCACTTGAGAGGGTAGGTGATGTGGACGTCGTAGAAGAAATTTTGTCCCGTAACGCTCGCCGTACTGTTGAGGGGGAGAAGCGGTGGGGGGGAAATGTTCATGTTGCTGCGGTCTGTAGTCTGACCGCTAGATGTCGCTGAAAATTACACACTGTAGCTTTAAGCTAACAGAGTGAAGGGACCCTGGGCTGCTTTTATACTGAAATATTGCACCAGCGCCTCCTGTCTTCTCATTTAACTTACTTTTTTTGCCTTATTCATCGTCACTTTGTTACTATTACTTTTAAAATGCTGATCTTCAGTTGTTTTGTCTAAGTGGCCTTTTCTGTCTCACTTGCAGAGAGTGGTTTACTTCTTTCATATTTGCATCTCTAAGACATTTTAGGTGCATCACTACCTGATTGGTGTTGTTTGCCTTTCTGATTGTGATATAACTGAATGTGAGCATCCTCTGCAGCCCACTGGGATGTTTGAGCAGCTGTACATTGTTTTTACTGTAATTGTGAGCAGTGCATATTTTGGCTGTTTATTTGTCCAATGCTCAGCCTACATTCCTGCCCCCCTGGTGTCCCGCTGGGCTCCTCCCCTCGTCCCAGCATGCCTTGCTCCACCTGCATGGTTTCTTTTAGATTCCCATCCGGCCGTGGAGCCGGGATAAATGCTGTTCCTCTGAAAAAGAGAGGAAAACAACCTGTTAAATGTCCCTGATGTACCTTTTGATTTGATTTTATAGAAACTAACAGTAATGTCCAATGTTAAACAATAAAGTAATATATCAAGTCTGTTGTTTGAGATTAATTCTTGCAGCATTTGTGGCGAATTAGAGGAATGATACTATCAGTTATTGGCGTAGTTAGGTTAAAATACCAGTTAAATTTTTTGATCTAATAAATGAGGCCGTAACAAATTCTTAACTATATCCTGTAAATTTTAAGAACAAGAAAATATCATGAAAACAAATGAAGAAAATTTTAGAATCTCATAACCCGATTTATGCAAAGACTCATAAGGATTTTTATTTAGTTTAGGCTCTTGGTTTTAAGTTCACGCTCGCTGCCATCAGTTTCAGCCAGTTTTATTGACTTAAATAAAGCTCAACGATCCTGGTAGTTAGGAAACTCCTGACATTCGCTCGTTTGCATCAATAAGATAAAGTCCTATTTTACAACCAGGTTACTGAACGTGTCATATCTGTTTAAGCAGGCATTAGCCAGACCATTACTGTGCCAACCATAAACTTATTATCAGTACAAAGCAATACATGTGAGAATAACTGAATATATTGTACAGCTTTTTGAGTAGCTCTGGCTTTATAAAGTGCTATAAAGCTTTTCCAAATCGGTCTCTGTTGCTCCAGATCTAGTGATAATTATCTGAGACCACTTTGTGGAATTTTATGACAAATTCTAGAGTTTTAAGGACACTGAATGTCGTTGAAAAATCACCTACTGTTATAAAGCATTGTAATATAAAACCTTCCAGCATGCAGCAGAGGTAGGAGAGCGTGGTCAGGGATGGACTCGTCAGATGAGGTTCAAAATCTGTTTCAAACTAGCAGCAGTTCTAGTTATATTTGAAACTTGGATTGTTTTTGTTTTTTTCCAGCAGACCCATCTCACACGGACAACCCCCCCCCCCACATAAATCTGATCCAGATTATTTTCCAAAAGAAAACTGCTCCCAGCTGCCTCTGTACTTCATCCCTACCTTTGAAGCCCCCCTGACAGTGTTGCCCAGCAGAAACGATCAACCCAGGCACCTCCAGGTGGAATGTTTTCTACTCTGTTACAGTGATTGGGTGTGACCCACAGCTCCACCTGATTCCAACCAAAGGGAAGAGCAACCGGCCTTTAGGGGGTGTTTATTGTTCTTGGCTGCAGGAGACAGAAAGGCTTGAACTCTGCATGGACACTCGATAACCAAACTTCCCCTTATTGTATAGATGTGGACCGCCTCTGAGCTATAAGCAGTGTTCAAAATAGCTAATGGAGAAATGACTTACAATATTCTATAGTGAGCAAGCAGAATGCCAGCAAATTATTTGTTTCTAACCTCTTTCTTGCTCTTTACCTTGAGTTTCAACTGTAACCTTTTGCTTTGCTTACAATAGTAAACTTTTTTAGCACCTGGTAAATGGGAAAGTATTTTTTTTTTCTGTTAAGCCATATAAACCGATCCCTTTTCCTGCTATCAGGGTTGAATGGTAGCGTTTGCAGCCTTCAGCCCTTTGGTCTCCTTAAAGCCTCTCTCAATATTTGGTGATAAGGCAGGTAGAAAATGCTCCATCTCAAACAAAATGTATCTGCAGCGCATCAACCAGCTCCAGCAACCAGCAAACTGCCCCTTTTGCCCTTTTCTTTCACCCTGACCACACCTAAACTTGCTTGTTGCTATACTTAAGCCTGTTCCTTAAAGGTCTCTTGTCACTGACTTACTTTGGTAATATTTCTTTTTTCTGGTGTGGTTTAAGTTTGGACATGGGGTGAGTTGCACATTAAGGAGAGCCACAAAGCTGTGGGTAAGCCTTGGCATGGCATTACAAACCCTTTCAACCGACAGGACATTCTAGATAAGTCTTAAGAATTTTTGTTTTATTGTTTTTGACATTTAAATACACGGTTGCACAGCAGGACAATGAGCTAAAAGCCTCTCCAAAGAAAGTAACAAGAGTTTGAAGTGGCCTAGTCAAAACTTCAATTTAAATCCAACTGAGAGAACATTGAAGAAGCTTACTCATACTGTAAATAGTTTTTGTGTTTGATAATTAAAATAATTATGCAAAGCAGAGTGGGCAGAAAAATTCTAACCATTGGTATTAAAGACTCATCACAGGTTAAGACTTGATGGCTACAGTTGATTCTTGGGGTGAAATGACCAGTCAGCAGGTGTAAGGAGAAATTGTGGGGTACATTCAGATAGCTTATCTTGCCATTAATACAAAAATGAATCATTTGAAAAAAGATGTATATATCTTTGAGATAAAAATGAGAGTACTGACACTTTTTCATGGCTCTGTATCAAAAGGTTGAGAGCCCACATCATGCCCAACTTGTACGAATAACTACAACGTATATGCTCCTTATGACACAGTCCAAACACCATGATCAATGAAGATAAATTACCAATGTTGTCCTTGTTTTCTCTGCTTGAGCAGACTGCTTGAAATCAGTCCAGGATTCCCTATGAATCTCTGAACAGGAACATGAACGGACAGGCCGTTCTCTCTCTGAACTCCAAGCCAGCTGCTCTTCCTCCACATTTTCCTTCTTTTTTCTGCAGAAGCTCCTTTGATGTGTTTCAGACATTTGAGATAAACTGTTCTTCATCACAGGACTCCTTTTCATATTTGCTTCAAAAGTTGTATATAGAAGAATTTAGAGACTGAAAGTACTAAACCTTTTTTTGTGTGTGCCTGTGCTTTGGTTCAATTTTTATTTTATTTTATTGTTTTTACATCAAACAGGAAATCTATGTACCTGCTGGGTGGTTTTTAAAGGAGTGGAGAAAGGAAGTGATGCCCAAACTGCTTCCAGGCTTCTCCAGGCGCATCAGAACGTCATTCAGCAGGTAGATAATGGCATCATACTCTCCAATGTGTTGTTTTTTTCCTTGAGTTTTTACAGCACTAGTGGCTCGTTTTGATGGACAGTAAGTAGCCTGACAGGAAAGGGGGAGAGGACCACAGGCTGGATTCCAACCGAGGTCGCCCGCGTCGAGGACTAAGGCCTCCATACGTT